ACCCTAAACCTTAAACTCTAAATCCTCCCGAAATCATTTTACAGGCCCTGGGCTTGCTCCATGTGCACGAGGTGCGGGCCGAACACTTCGGTTTTTGAGGGTTTTCTTCAACACTTTTAAGGGTAGGTTTACGGTTTCGGGTTCCGCTTCAGGGTTGCGTATGGGTACTCGAAGGGGGATGTAGGGTCCAGTTTAGGGTTTAGGGCTTAGGGAAGGTGGATTTAGGGTCCGATTTAGTATGGCTTAGGCTTATGTCTCAAGTGTTCTTGAGTCCTCAAAAAACAGGTCCAATATAGGGACGTTAATGATTAGAGCAGGGTTTTGGGGTATAGTATACTATAGTATAGGTAATTATTTAGGCCCGTAGATTACCTACAGTCTCCATGGTAGTTTGTTTTCTTGGATTCCTACAGTACATTTAGGATCCTATAAGCTACCGAAAAGCAGTTCAGGTCAAGGTTTGGATTCATCATAGAGGATCATAAAGTATAATGCACCAAATATGATAGACTATGATAATAATGTCATGCCTGAAAACACAATATAACTTGATAGAATATGATATGTTATAGTATCCTACGGTATGGTATGATATGATAGGGGAATACGATATGGTAAGTTAGAATATAAAACACTTCAATATCACAGAATTTCAGTGAGTATATTGCGTCATAACACAGCATCGTAGACTGTCATCTTCTCGAGATCTCGAGTCATCGGGAGCAGAGCTCATTCGCCGATGGGTCTGCCATCGAAGCCTGAATGATTGCCAATATCATTCCGTAGGGTTCTTGATCAGAAGTGTGCTATAATGAGCCCCACGACCCTACTCAAATCTTTCAGGTTCCAATGTTAGGGCATGTGCGCTGCGTTCTGGTGAAACTCTGGAAGAGTCCGGTGACTTTCATTTTCCAGTTTATGGAGTCAAGAGTGTCGGGTTCAGAGCCTTTCTTGAGTTTTACATGTTTCCTGTGTTCGAGTTTGAGGGTTGAGCGTTCATCAGGGTGTTGGTTGTGAAGGCTGCTACTACTACTACTACTACTACGACGACGACGACGACGACTACTACTACTACTCCTGCTGCCGCTGCTTCTGCTGCCATTTTTCTGCCTCAGGGTCTTGCTTGTGCTTTTAATGTGGTGATTCTGCATGCTATTGCCGAAGGTGGTACTGGTACCCACCTAGAAAGTGTGAGCAGCTAAACCTTACACCCTAAACCCTCTGAACCGCTGAAAACGAATAAAAGCTCAGGGGCAGAGATGGGTTGGGCTTCAGCATTGCTTACCAGCCACTGTCTCCAGGTCGTTCTCCAAGATAGGGGCCCTAAAGGTTTAGTGTCTACGTTAATGGTCTAGGGTGTGGATTCAGGGAACTAGACTAGACGCCTAACCATAGCCCCCACAATTAGGGAACCCCTACACCCTCGAACCCCAACAGTAGGATTTACGGAACCTCCAAACCCCTAAACCCTAAACCCTACGATTTGGGGAACCCCTTACGCCGAAAGAGTTGCTCGGCCGAGTCGCCAAAAGGTCCACTCCCCAAGCCGGCGTGTGAGTTCTACAGCGCGTGGGCGAAGCATCTTTGCCGAGAGGGGCGAGGGTTTAAACCTTAATCCCCTAAACCCCTAAAGGTGGGGTGGCTTAGGGTCGCGGGGTTTGGGGACATGGGATTCGGTGTGGCAGGCTCTTTGGGCGGGATTTTTTGAGGACGTTTGCCATTTCTTGAAAACTTGCCTGCGGAAACAGGCGTGTAGGGTCCTGGATTGTGATACTAGTGCTGCGGCAGCGACTGTGGGCTTGGTGTGCATGCTTTGAGGGTTGTTGAGTTTGTGGTTCAGGGGTTCATGTTTTGTTTTTGTTTATTATGGGTGGGTTGGAGGATATCGGGCTCGAGGGTGTTTTGATTTTAGGGTCGAGGCTTTAAGTTTAAGGTTTGACCCTAAACCTAAGGCTCTTTTTGCTGTTATGGGCTTTCTAGGGGACGGTTTGGGCTTTGGGGGCTAAGGTTTCACTACGGGGGGTCCATGAGCCTTAGGGTAACCCTAAACCCTAAACCCTCAACCCCTAAACCCTAAACCCCTAAACCCTAAACCCCAAAACCCGAAATCTGAGGGTATGTTTGCAAATAGGGATCTTCGGGGTCTCCAAGGCATCGTCAACGGCGCGGAGAAGTGGCTGACCCTGCACCAGCACTCTGACGTCGCGGAATGTTTGGGAGGATTAAAGGCTCGGCATCGTGGGTTTCGGGTTTTGGTTTAGGGTTTAGGGGTTAGGGTTTCGGGTTTTGCGGTTTGTGGTTTTGGGTTTTAGGGGTTAGGGTGTGAAGAGAGTGGCAGCATTATCATTGCACGACATAGCAAGGAGAGCATCATATGAACGTTACAGCGTTATTCGTTCCAGTGTCACTCTGTTCAGCATGATTTACGTTCTTGCACCACTGGTAGTTTCACTAGTGTCTCCTTTGTTGCATTTTGATTGCTCGGGTTACACCAGTGATGCTACTGTGCAGTGTTCAGCATTGCTATACAGGGGCGTTAATAATTAGGATAGGGTTTTGGGGGTTCCTTATTATGACTATCGAATAATATACCCCCAAACACCATTCTAATTATTAAGGCCCCTATGTTACACCTTGTGCTGCTGCGGAGTTTGGAGTGCCGGGCCTGGCAGAGTTTGCCTCCCGGTCTGCACACTTCTGTCATCAATGGTTGGTTTAGGGTTTAGGGTTTAGGGTTTAGGGTTTAGGGTTTAGGGTTTAGGGTTTAGGGTTTAGGGTTTAGGGTTTAGGGTTTCAGGCTTAGGGGTTTGCGGTTTTAGAGTTTGGGTTTAATGCTTGGGATTCAATAGTTCCGAGTCTAGGCTTCCGGTGTGAGGGTTGCCTGGGTCCTTGTTGGACACCATTTTGCATTTGTGTTTTTCTTAGTTCTCCAATACCCAACCTTTAAAACTGTTTGGGTTTCTTAGAATTTAGTAGCAATCTGAAAGTTTAACCCTTTATTTCCCTGGCCTATTGGGGAAGTAAGTTTTAATACAAAACCCAACCAGGATTGACAATTATCATTCTTAAAAACATAGCGCCAACTGGGAACCAGTTGTGAGGACTCAGGACCTTGCCTAGGTTCACTTTGTAGGGCCGAGTCAGGCTGCGTTCAACCTAAGTCCCTACACCCTCCACCATGAACCACAAACCCACCCAGCCCCGGCCCCCCAAGTGCCCCAAATCTTCCATACTTTATCTTCTTCCTGTTGTTACTCTTATTTATGAGGGATCCATGTTTTATCACGGTAGCAGCTCTTTGCCTCTATGAACAAGCTACGTGGCCCCTAATCCCTAAACGCCTACCTTAAGAACCCAAAACCCATTTTTTTGTAGGTTCTTATTATAAACCTTAATATGAGATTTATAGGGGCCCTACAAAAATGTAGGTTTGGGGTTCTTAAGGTAGACCCTGAACCACAAACCATGCTTCTCTCTTGCAGATTCGTGAGACAGCGCAGGCCACGCGACATCAACTGCTGGCAGCTGTGCCACCAGGCCAAGGCCCTCAACCAAGCAAGACGAGGGTTCCTGTTAAGGGTTTAGGGTTTAGGCTTTGGAGTGTAGAGTTTAGGGTTTAGGCTTTGGGGTTTAGGGTTTAGGGTTTAGCCTTTGGGGTT